TTCCCTCCTCTCCAACCAGCTGAAGGCAAAAATACAGATGTGGTTTTTTCTGCATTTCCACACTGCTGACACTCACCCAAGTCAAGGCCAGGTAGAGCTTTGTCAGTTTGCTGGTGCCTTCCCAGTGGAGATGAAAGATTTTTCTGGGAGATCCTGCATCCCAGCAAAGTTAATAATACTGCATCACATGATGATCCTACCTAAGGACAATTTTGTGAAGGGAGGGAATGCTGGAATGCAAGGGGAAAGCACACACCAGTTGGAGCACATTCCTAGTTTGCTCTGCTGCTGGACTTGGGCCACCTCCTGCGCCACTGGCTCCAATCCGTCATCTGTCTGCTTACTGCAGGAATATTGCTAACCACCAGCTGCAGCATTAAATAACTTTTGTGCTCTCTGTATTCCAAAGCAAGCAAGGCTCTTCTAGCGGCGTTAAGATTGCCTCTTTTCCTACCTCTGAGATATTCTGCCTTTATCTTGCGTGTGACACATCCTCAGCATTTAACAGCTACAGCTAACCTAGGATCAGTAGTCTGGCAGGGAAGTTCTCTTGCAGGGCCTCCTTCTATCCCGCAGGACACATTTAGAGGGCATAGTAAGTTCTCCTATCCAGAAAGAAACCATAGATGCATTGCAAGTTAGCAATACATGCCATATGCAGCGTCTTTCAGCGGGCCTTGTGAACTGCTGAAAACAAGACCATCTATTTTGTCTCGCTTTACAGGCTCTCCTTCAATCAACAAAACTGTATACACGTACCACACCTGCAACAGCTCCAATTCCTGCAGAAATGCAGGCAAACGTCACTTTGCTACACTTTCAGAAGTGTTTCATACCAACTATATTATACACCTCCTTGCAATGTGCCTTTATGTGGAACAACTGAACACTTGATGTGATCCTGGGCAGCCTTCTCTCAGTGACACTTGCTTTGAGCAGGGATTTCGACTACATGATATCCGTAGGTGCCAGCCAACCTCAGCCATTCTGTGATGCTGTGGAATAAAAGAAATCCCAGTGGTTCCAGCACTTCATCAATAAACTGTTTGACACAGTATTTTCCAAACTCTGACCCATGGAGAAATGTTGCCCTGATCCCTTCTAAAGTTGGCTAAATGCCTACAGTGAGGGTTTGTGCATAAACTGCTTTCTGAATTGCATCTTACTTTTCATTCTCTGCTTACACTCTTATTTTATTTACATTTGCATCAACAGAAAAACTGTCGCAATTTCTGGAGCCTTACTTTTGGAAACAACGAATTTATTTTTGATCTGTTTCAGCCCAGAAGGAAGTGCCTGGTTTTGTTATGCTGCTAATTGTCTGAACCTCTACCTCACCTCATCTGTCTCACTTAGATCCTCTGGATCTAACACACTCAATACGTTCACAAACACCTGCTTAAAGATTAAAAAAAAAAAACACCCCACAATTCATCTCTATATAGACCACTGTTCCCTTCACATTCATTCGACTGCTACAAGTGCCATGCTGTTACTGACCAATGAAAAAAAAACAGAATAAAATTATATAAAAAATATATAGTACAGGAAGAAGCAGAAGACAAACGAACTTCTATTTTCAAATGGCAGTGTTTCCCACCCTGTATTTTTCCATACAAAATACATCACACTTTTTCTCTTTCTACTGAGCCTACTGAGCATTTCACAAATACTGCAGCAGATGGAATGGGTCTACGGACAGAGGCAAGAGTTCCTCCCTTTAGATTGCCTGTGTTCAACCATGGACCTTATTCCCAGAGGAAACCCACTGCAACAAGTGTGGGAAAGGCTCAGTGAAGGGAGGAGGAAAATTTCCTAGAGCTTTCCCCCAGGCCCCGCACTTACCAAAGGCTCTAGTTCTTTGCGGTCTATGAGGTTGAGCTCAGTCACAAAGTAATAAAAATGCTTGTAACAGGTATTGACGTGGGCCTCAGCCCCCATAAGGATGATACGGTCAAAGTGATGGATGTAGACGTGAACAAACACCCGAAAAAGCCGGCAGAGTATCTTCTTGCAGATCTGAAGGAAGTTCTTTGGAAAGGGAACACCTGTGAATAGAGAAGGCAGGGTTGTCATAACCATCCTGTCATCCTGCCAAGACAACAGCTTTGGAGCAAAGTGTGAGTTTGTAACTGCAGACTAGGTTATGACTTCCTAGGTCTCCTTTCCAATCCAGAAGATGATTTAATGCATAAATTTATCTGATCGCTAGCACCAAAGATAACCAAATACTTAAGTGACTTTAAAGGATCAAGACCAACAGGTACCGGTCATTTTTCCCTGAATAGTTTAATGGAGGAACATCCAGTATTGTAATGTTCAGAAATGTCATTTTCATTGCAGCGCACACTGTCCCATTAACATCAATGGCTTTACATCCTGAGATGGCTGTTGCCCACACTGATACATACAGCTCATTTCATCTTGTGGCATTTCACAGCATCAAATGTAATAACGAATTTGAAATAACTGACTGAAGGACAGACCCCTTTCCTTTCACCTTCCTCTCAGTTATGTGTACCAATCTGGCTGCTCTTCTAGTAGAAAAACTCTTGAAGTGACACAAGAACAGTTTTTCCAAAATACCTTAGAAGTTACACCACTTTTCAGCTGGAGACTCCACAGCAGCAGCAAAAGCCATGCTTGCAGGTAAACAGCCAGGCATCCACAATGTGGCATCAATAATTCCTTCAAAACTGCCCTTCACTGAAGACTGATCTTGCATGGCATTGAGTACCACTGAGCTGTCCCAAAAAGCTGAAGGGTTCATCTCTTTCTATGACTGTGCCTCAGACATGATGACTTTAGTGCCATGCTTGAAACCTTACTGCTACCACATTCTCCTGATTTTTTTATTTATAGTTCATGTTTTAGTCAGATTTGAACTACGTAACTGTTGCTATTTCTTCTTCTAAAAAAGAAAAATAAACCCCAGAGCTAGCAAGTTCTATATTCCTTAAAAGCCCAGCTCACGCTTTCAACAAGAAAAGCGTTTATTATTTGCAGAAAGAAGATACTAAATTAACACTGTTGCAAACTTACTAGTTTTAAAATTTCAATCTCCTGTTAAATACCACTCAGCACTCTTAAGAGTGGTGAATTAATGGACAAATTGTCTGGTTTCACTGAGGGGGATGTGAGGACATACAGTGAGAATTTCCATGCTGAAAACACATTTTTGATTACAGATTACATAAATTACCAACTGTGGCTGTAACAAGTCTGGGTCCCATCAACAGACACATGCACCTTGTTCTGGACTCCCTGGCCAAGGTCATACCAGGGCATATCCCCTGCAGATGTGAACATCCCTGTGCCTGTCAGCATCCGAGGAGGGAAGCCCACCAGCGTGCAGAAGTGTCCTGTTCAGGATATCCCTCAACTGCCTCTACATTTGCCATCACTGAGGTGCAGATAACGTGGGAAAGTGTCTCAGGTTTTTTTGGCCTGTACTGGGTTCACCGGACGCAAATCCTTCTGATATAATTTCAAGCAACTTTAGAGATGCAGAGCAGCCCTTCTTACTCCTGATGTACAAACCAGGGACCAGAGAAATAGCTGCATCTATCAAAGCACAACCACTTTATCTCCTTAAGAAAGGTTTGCTTTTGTTTGTCACATCCATTCACCTCAATGCTAAAGCTAATATCGAGGGTCACAGAGGAGGAGGCCTAAACGCTCAAGCCATGAACTGAGACATTGCTAAGCTACAGAAACGATAATACATACAGATGTCTTTGCAATACTTGAATCAAAACTCTGCAATTAGCCAAACCCCTGGATTATAACAAATGATTGCTGTTACTTCCAAGGGCAAAATAAATACGCTCTATCAAAAAACGTAATAGAAAACCCAGTTAGGTGCTTATTAACCAGGGGGATCACATTTCAGCCATGAGAGCATGGCTAAATTCAGGAATGACTACAGCAGCAGCCTGCTTTACATTTTCATAAAAGATACCCAAACTAGAATTTTAAAAATAACCCCAAGAAAATGTTAAGTCCTTAAAAAGGGGGAAGAGGAATAGCTGGCACTTGTCACTGACTGAACTGAGAGATGCATTCTTGAAGGCACTGTATTTTCTGATCCAGAACAGGCATGTCCCAAAATGAAGAATAATTAGTTTCATCTTCCATAGGCTGGCATATGATTGTTACTGAAGAATGTTACTGTAAAGAAGAAACATACTCCTGTATTAACTGACTAAAACAAGCTGAATAAACCAAGCTGACAAATCCTTTAGTTTCTCTGCAGCCCATGTTCCCGCTTAGCAGTTACAGGCAGTAAGTGCAAAGGGTGTAGAGCACTATTTCTGCTGTGAGCAAGGACTTTAATCTGAAAGCTTTTTAGACGTGTTAGGCAGTCAATTCGAGGAAACATAAATAACACAGAAAAAAACCAGCTGGTGCAGAACAGCCTGAGGCACATAATAAACTTGCAGTGTTCCCACTCACTGCTCCTCACGTGCATTAAGTTTTCAGACAGGCTGTGTAATTTTCATTTGCCATTGTGGAACTTTTCCAGCTTTGCAAAGCTATCTCTGTTTCATTTACTCTTAAATAAACATTGCCGCCTTCACAGACTTATCACCTGGGTATGGCAGAATCCATAATGGCTCTCTGACTTCTCTCCCCTTCTGGCAAAACTGGTTTACAAACTGACACGGTGTCCTAAGTAGTTAAAAAGTGCCTCCTCATACCACTGAAAGCAATCAGTCCTGTGCAGTGAGCTTGACTGCTCAGCCTTGGCGAGCTTGCCAGCCAGACTGTCCCTGGAGCAGAGAGGAGGCTCGAGGTCTGGTCAGCCTTAAGGTACAGATGAGCATATGGAGGTGGCTGCAGCACTAGTTTAAACATACACTCTACTGCTCTTTGTGTTCAAAACTAGACAAAAGGATGGTAGAAATGCAGTCTTGAAGAGAAAAAAAAAATCTAATACAACAGAACAGATCCTGATCTTAGTTACAGTATAATGAATCCAAAGTAATGCCATCAAAATTTAAAACCATCAGAGCGAAATGATTCTAGATTTATATTCTGAGGTCAGAATTTGGCTTATGTTTTGTTCCCACTGCAACTGCTATAGTTATAAATAAACCAACCACTGGACATAATCATTATGAGTGGCTCTTGGGAATGGACTAGCTTAGATTTAGACTCTTGTCTAAGACGAGTCCTGTCCTCTGTCCTTCAGCTCAGCCATAGCAGCCTTTGCCTTCTCCCCCTCCAAGCTCCAACTTACCATGGAGTCCAGGTTTAATAATTTCTTTCCTGGAACTTTATAGTTAAAATGGGAGAGGAAGAGAAAGGAAAAAAACCTCAAACCCACCAAAAGTCTGCATGCTTATTTAAACTTTGGATTCTTTTTAACAGCAAAAAAAATTTCCAAGAAGAAGGATGACTGTCTGACTAACTGCAAGGTGATACTGTAAAGAGAGAGAATGTAAAGACACCAAATTAGGTTGCTGAGTTACGGTTATTGAAAGGCAAATAAATACAAAGATGACACTGAAATTTTTGAGCTAGCTGCTACTTGCTGAAAAAAGTATTTCTGGATGACTGAACTGGCAGCCTTGACTCATCTGCAGGCTGAGCCCCAGTGCTGCTGTATGAAAGTAACAGAAGGGTCCTTTTTGTTAACCTGGTGTTCAAAACCCCAGAGCTCCGCATTACGTCCCAAGAATGTGCAAGCAGCTTTCAAATGTCCCAGCCACACAGCAGAAGCTCCTTTAACTCACGGTCATAGATGCAATTAGGAAACAATTCACTGGGGCATGGTATAACCAGTAATAAACATGGGACTGTCTGGAGGTGGTGCTGTACTAACAGACAGGCTCCTCCTGCAGAAAAGCTGAGCCCCTTTACCCTGCTGACAGATGCCCACGGCAGCATCGGGCAACAATCACCTCGTTTCCCCTGCGCTCCAACCTCCCCGTGCTCCTTTGGCCTTTTTGCTAGAAAAGGCTACTCCTTGCATGAGCAGGGCTCTCTACAACTTCCAAAACTCAACTCACCTGATCAATTTATCAAGAGGGATTTTCCCTTTCTTTTTGAGAACAGCCTTATGCCCACACCTTTCTGTAGGCTATCGACTTCATTCCTTACAGGTTCTTAATTTCCTATCAGGTGATTTGCTCCTGTGCCAGAGTGAGCATCCAGATCTAATCTATTGATCACCAGTGAGTTAATGGTCTGTTGGTTTAAAATACAGATGTTTTAACACCATGATGAAGGTCCTAATTTAAACCCTGCAGGTACAAAACCTGTTCTTTGTACGACGCAAAAAAAATGGTGGAATGTGGCAGAGACACTAAAAGAAACTAAATTATGTGGGGATAGAGGAGCGTAAGCAAAGATCTGAGGTGAATGCAACAGGCAAAAAGTCTGTCTCATTTGATACATGACAATCTTGAATCTTCCTACTTCAATATGTATCCCAACCTCCCCTGAAGCAAGCCAGTTGCACAGGTTAGAGAGGAAACAGAAGAAAAGTCATGATACAATTTGTCTTTCTCGCCAGACTCATTACCTCTAGGCAAGAGTCAGAAAGTATATGGCCCCAGAAAGTTGATGCTGAGGAACCAGAGGAAGCAACCCAGACTTTTTGCCTGTAACGTTACATGCGGTTCTCAACTGGCATGCAATGGAGATAACTGCCCAGTTAAATCTTCTGTGATGCCAGATGCATGAGCATTTTTGACCTTCTGTATTTATGTGGTTTGAAGTCTTGCTTTACTCAAGGGATGCTGGTAAGCCCTTTGGCAATTGTGCACAGAAATTTTGCTGCACACTTGAAAATCCTTTCACGGGCCACAATCGTAATGCATTCTTTTTTTAAAAATACATGTGAGAAAAAGAGAGACTCCCTTCTCCATTGGCAAAAGGATCCACACTGTACTATTGCAAAGACAGATTAAAAACATACCAACCTGGTAAAGTAAGAATTTTTTCCAGTTTTATAATAAGGAGCAAGAAAACAGTGTTACCAGAAACTAACAATTTGGAGAAGGCACCTGAACCTAATCCTTCCTCCCCTCCTCCCTGTAAG